AGCAAAAGCTCAAGGACCTTAGCTGGGCAGGGAGGCCAGCAAGGTCTGACCTGTCAGGCTGCAGCCCGGCACACAGAACTCACAGCTCACTCAGGCGGACGGTGCCTTACTTCCCAAAGGCGCTCCTGGACCTCAGCAAGCCACTGCAGGACAGCGAGGTCGCGCACTCGGCAACTCCTTCGGACCCACCCGAGCCGAAGCTGGATAGGCGAGAAGTCCCTGAGGCGAAACTTCTTAGCATATGCTGGACGACAGGGACACGTCCAGGCGACATGCCTCCAAGTGCCAAGCTCCGAGCAGCCTGGCCAGCAGCACCTAGTAGCCGAGGGCTCGGCCCGATCATGAAAGGTGGCCGGGCTCGCCGTGGCGAGAAGTGCCACAGAGCGGGCAGCCGCTCTGCCCCCTATGACTGCACGAGTCCTCTCAAAGTCCGTGTCAAAGAAAACATTGTTAGGAACGTCCCAGAGCTCCTCGGTTTCATGTCTTCCCTGAAAGAGGAAACTACACCACTGGTGGTGCCGCCAGCCCTCCCGCACCGCGTGCAGCTGGGCAGCGAGTGCATTCTCAGCCACGGGCAAAGTTAAGTCGCAGTGCGGCTCTGCCCCTTTCCATGACCATGGTGCATGTTCTGACCAGCCTCTGTCAGCAAGCCAGTCACGCAACGCCCGCAGGGGCGTACCTGGTCGCCTGTGCCATTCCCGAGCGTTTTGCTCAAACATTCGAGCGACAATGCGAAAAAGGTTCGTGCCGACTAAGGCGTCCAGGTGGGAACTACCGCCTGGCACATCAGCTCTCAAAAACCTGTTGGCCCTGTAGAGGCAGTGCTGTCCTCGACGAACTGTCGCCCAGACTTTCCAACAATCGCGTTGTGTGGCACATCTGGACAGCCACCCGTAGGCCACTTTAGAAGTGCCAAAACAACGAGCCTCCTGCTGAAAACGAGCCCAAGGCAAACGAAGGTTACCGAGGACGGTTATGACGCGGAGGGCAGCATCGAGCCTAGAGGTCTCCTTAGCAGTGTTAGACCTGGGTTTAAAGCGAGCACAGACACCGAGGGCCTCGAAAGACTCACTGACTTTAGTGGGGTCAGGGGCCTCGTTACGCAGAGCCTCAAGGCCTCGCTTAGACGTGGCAGTGAGCTGAAGCTTGTCAGGGCTCTCGGACAACCCAACCCTCACAGAAAAGTCCTCCCAAGCGGCAACCTTGGAGAGAAGGGCACTAGCCGTGGATGCAGAGAAACTCTTGTCATCAAGGTAGGTTTTCGTGAGCCCATCAGCCGCAGCCGCAGGCCCTACTTGACGATTAACTGCCAGGACCCCTGACGCCATCCAGAGGCTCAAGGCCAAAGGCCCCAATGGGCAACCCTGCGCCGTGGCGGTGTGTGCCCTGAGAGCCTCAGGGTGGGCACAGCCCGCCCACTCGACATGCCTGAACTGGGTGGTCCACACAGCCCTGCAAAAAGCGCAGAGCGTGGCAGGCAAGCCTGCAAGTTGCATCAAGGCCAACGTCCCATGAGGGTCCATAGAATCATAACATTTGGAGTAGTCAAGGGTGGCCCCAAAACCCTTTTCCGAAATGCTATTCAGGAGAAGCCCAGCCGTAAGTTGAGCCTCAGAGCCCTGACCAATGCACACTTGGGGAGGCATATGCGTTTGGAGCCACTTACGCATACAAGGGGTCCTAACCCAAGCAGTAAGCCAGGTTCGGTAAAAGCATGAGAAGATGCTGATAGGACGCGTGTCAGCAGCGGCAGTGCAACCCTGAGTAACCTTGTTCGGCTTAGCCAGAACAACCATGCGACACTCCGAGAACTGACGGGGGCAGACACCCTCAGCCTCAAAGGACAACATAAGCTCCCTAAACCGTTCGATGGCTTGCACCGGCAGGTGCCGAAGCTCAGAGGCATGCCACCTATCCGCGCCTCCACAGCCCTTAGCAGTCCGGAAAGTGCGGACAAGGTGCTCAAGCTCAGGAGGCTGCCACTCGATACCACCTTGGTACCGGACTCCGTTTTCGACGAGCGCACGAGACAGCTCCTCAGGAGTAGGGGCTGTGAGGGCCCTGGCGCGCCAGAAGTCCTGCCAGAAAGCGTGGATCATGGCCGCTCCTGCAGTGGGAGAATCCGCAGAGGAGCCCCCTGAGGTGACCCTGGTAACAGGGGGGGCCTGCCGATTTCGAAGCCAGCGACCCAATGCCCCAGGCTCATGGAGGATGTTGTCCTTCCAGGCCCTCAGTTTGGTCTTTCTTTGCTGCTTGACAACGGCGTGGAGCTCAGTTTTAGCAGCAGCAATTGCCTCAGGCGGAAGGCCCAGGGAGGGAGGGGAAGCCTAAAGCTCTAGCAAGCGCCCTGGCCTGAGGGAGCCCAGATTCCCGCTGACTGGTGGTTCGTTTAGCCCAGCGGAGGAGTTCATAGTGCCCAGCCAGCCTACGACGAAGCTTACGAGCTTGCAGAGACTCGTCATCCGTGCGGGGTCCCTGTCGCACCCAGGGCCGCTGAGACCACTCCGAGGGGAGACCTTTCTGCCTAGAGGGGTTACACTGTTGCCCAAGTTGACGTTGCAGGGCGGGGTCAGAAGTAAGGCCAAGAACCCGCTTGGTAGCCGTGCGATAAAGCGCATCAAGCTGGCACATGAACTCATCCCACTTCTCCTGGCACGAAGGCCCCGAGGGAAAAGGAGTCTGCAGCTCCTGCCAAACATCCTGCAGGACGTTGCGCCAATCTGAGCAAGACATTCCTTGGGGCAGAGGCCAAGAGGGAGCCTGCTTAAAGGAGCCAAGCATACAATCCCGAACTTTCATGGCGACTTCAGAAAACACAACCTTATGCTCAGAAAAGTGGGGTTCCAAACATCGAGGCTGAGCAACTTGATCAGTCTGCGAGGTAGCTATCCAGTCAACTTCTCTGTTACCTTCCCATCGAGTGGGTGAGTTTTGGGCAAGAACAGCTCCCCTGTAGCACTCAAGAGTAGCCTGGATACAAGAATCCCCAGGGACTTCGTTGGCGTCTCCCAGACAGATCCAAGGGACACTCTGGTTGATCTGGTGAGTTTCGAAAACGTCCTGCAAAGCCTGAGCCGCCTGCGCCTGAGCATCCGCATCCGGAACAGGGGGGGCATAAAAACAGGACACGAACCACTCGCCAACCCAAGCCGACACGACCTGGGAGTCGGATTCGAAGCCTAGCCGCTGGGTTCGCCGGTTAAAAGCCTCCCACTCCGTTTCAAGAAACTTGGTTTCCTGGAGAGCCATGACCAAGGGCTCCTTCCAGCTAGCAAAATGCTCAAGAGCCTGCCAAGCACCCGCCGGCCCGCCAACGTTGAGGGTGAGCAAACAGAACTTACTGAAAGACGAACACGGGCCAGGGTGCCGAGCCTCGCCAACTCGCTCACCACGATGCCCGCCATGTCTCCATGAAGCCTTAGCAAGGGTAGAGCTCGTGGACGCACTTGCCTTAGCGACAGCAACAGGAGCCTTAGGATCCCCTCTCCGCTTTTCAGCCTCACCGCGGGTGAGAGGCTGCTTACCAGTCTTACGCCTCAAAGGCCGGACTCCAGCCAAGGCGCGGGCACGGGCAAGATGACGAGACTTTTCCGAGTGCGCCTGGTGAACCCAACACCTTCGGTCGATGGCCTCGAAACTAAGGCCAACCGCATTGGACAGGGCCTTAGCATGTTTCGGCTCCTTACTCTTAAGTTTCAGCCACCAAGACCTACGAACCCGTTGGAGAGTGCTGTTGTCTTTGATCCTTTGCTGGATTTGCTCACAAGTGTACTGCCTGGCCCAATTGTTTTTGCCAACAGGAGTGAGGCATTGACTACAGTAGTACAGGTTTCCCCGCTCCCCTGCGGCCAACCGCTCAGGAGGACAGACCTTGACAATCGTGTGGCTAGGGAACTTTTCCGCACGAGCGGCGGCGTGAACCTCTTCCTGATGCCTGCCCGACCCCTGGTTAGTGGAGTTTCGCTGGTAATGTATAGAAGCACATGAAAGTACTGAAGCAGTTGATTTGTTAGTAGCATGTAGGGAATACTCAGTGTTTAATCGGTGTTTATTCGATACTACTGGGTGGCAACTGATGTTTACGTCATATGCGAATCGCGTCTAAGATCCTCCGTCTGATACTGTTATTACTAGTTAACACTAGTAGATTAGATCACCTCCAAAATCAATCGACATGAACCAGCAACAGTCGTTCGAAAAAACAATCAAGTACGGAATATTTAGTCTGCGTATTTAACATGTGACTATGTAACATCTAGGAATAACTCGCGCACAGGTTTTTCTGAGTTTCTACTACGCATACTTCCCAATTACTTCACCGCCGTCATCCCCAATCAAGATTGAATTCGTAATTAGCTTACCAAGAATTATGAACAGTGATATGGCGTAGCTTTGAAGCAGTGTGGAGTAAATCCCCACCCAGCACAGACAAGGTATTCCCGCATTACCCCTTGCATAATTTGTTGATAGATCTATGGCTAATTCCCTAAATGTGCACGGATAACACTTCGAAATCAAGCAAGTGTCTAAGAGAGCAGCAAAACTCTACGTGGTCGGTATATGTGTAAGATATAACTGTCTTTACGTGTACCACTTGAAGGGGAAGCATATTTAGGTCACTAACTAAAGTCGTCATAAAATGTTCATCACCTGGTGGGCGCAAACAACAAAGGGTAAGGCGCTGAGGGGGCAATAGATATACACTTATAATAAATATATATATATACATATATATATATGTAGAAGTTCATCTGTTTGCTTATTTGCATATGTCTGTGAAATACACATATTATGTGGGTCTGCGGGTGGGTGGGGGGCGGGCTTGGGTTTGGATTCCCTTTGGGGATCATCGGATAAAGTTGGAACAACACAGAGAAGAGTAGCATGGCTGCGCAAGGATCACACGCACAATCGAGAAGTGCACCAAGTTTTGGAAGCCCTGCTTTCGACTCCGGGGTATATCCTCTTAATTAGGGCTGAGGGATTTTGCGTCGCAAGCTATGCATGGCCTGTCCAACCAGAGAAACCTCGCTTGTGGGCATCGATCTCAGCCATGCGACAGGGAAAAAAAGCACAAAAACTTACAACCACTTGTGCATCGCCTTGTCCGAGTTGAGCGTAAGCCACTTTGCGCACCGAATGGCAGGCCCTCGCAGTATTGGTTTTCGGGGCCTTCCTTGGCCCTGGCCTAAGCCCGCAGTGGACGGCAAGTTTTTGTTGCCTTCTGTTGGGTTTCCCGCCAATCATTGATGATCCTGGTGTGGGAAAAGTGATCATTCAACAGCTAGGCGTCACCACGCTGGAACTGCAGTGCCCCAGGCTCAGGAGACATTCAGTCGATTCCTGTCGAGGGAGCTGATCCCTGCCCATTAGTGAGCATCAGGCTGCTTGTTTGGGTGATGGGCGGATTCTCGTGGCGAGACACCCGGTGAAGCAAACCGCAGAAGCATGGTAGCTTCAGAAATTTTGTGCAAGCGGCAACCGCCACTGACACAGTGATACACGATCGAGACCACAAGAGGTCGGTGGCTTCGACGAGTTTGGTTTGGCCGTGGACACAACCGAGCGCGCTTGCCAGGACTGTCGGCGTGCAAGGGCCGAGAGAACTGGCCAACTTGTCAGGGTCGTGGACATCGTGACTGGAGAGGTGTCGTTTGGCCCGCGCCTGTCAGCAGCTCAGGTGGAGTATTGATGTGCGAGAGGATGCGAGGACTGTCTGCCAAGGACGATGCCACGGGCCGGCTGCGCTGCGGTCGCCTTGCCGCTTCCCATTCAAGAGGAGGAGCCGGAGCTCGATGCCCGGATGGTGCGCTTGCTTCCCCTACTTGCACACCATCCGGGTGACTGAGGCTGGAGGGGGAAGACGGGGAAGAGGAAGAGGAGGTTTGGATGCCCTGGGCCAGGGAGCCAAGTTTGCAGCAAGGAGCTGTCAGTTCCAACATTGCCTCGCCATGATTCGCTGCACTCATGAGCGACTCGAGTTTGAGGTCATGGTCATTGGTGGCTATGGCGCAGATGCTGGACAGAGCACGGAGGTCCTGAGTGTCCAGGCGTGGGGCACCTTCCGGCCGCCCCCTCTCGTTCATGCAGTCATCATCGCAGCATCAGGGCAAGAGCAGTAGAGTCAGTAAAGCAGCTGGAGTAGGAGTGGATACTCCTCAAACATTCACTCGCGCACTCGGGGTGGCAGGGCGCAGAAGTGCAAGCGGTGGCACCAGCCAGTGACATCGAATCACAAGGATGATGACATTGGGGTGACGAAAAAGATGAGGAGCAGATCAGGAGGAAAGAGGATGACCAGATATACTGCAGCGGGTAGACACACAGTCTGTTGCCCTCCTGCCCGAACGATGCATACCTCCCATTGCCTACCACCCCAAAATAGAGGACCCTAATATAGTGCCATACCATAAATAGTAGGATCCTTATTATAAGGACCCAAAAATAAGGTACCCGAATTTCCCCCAAAATGCGGAGACTTCCGGTGACTTTGAGGCAGGCACGGCCCGGCCGGGGCCAAAGCTCCGCTCACGGAGGGCCTGCTGTGCTGCAGCGATGCCCCGCAGCCGGAAATTTGGGTAGCTCTTTAAAGTAGGGTCCCTTTGAGGGTCAAAATTTTAGGGTGTGGGGTCCCTTTTAGGGTCCTTGTTTTTAGGGTTTGGGGACCTACACAGGAACCCTAATTTAGAGAACTACCCACTTGGAGGGCCTTGCGCTTCCCAAAGCTTGGGGGCACTTGAGCAGGTACGGCGAAAGGCACCTCATCGTTGCTGGTGGGTGCTGCACTCAGATGCAGGGACAAACGCGTGAGCACTGTGGTCTGCAGAGCTCCATCATTTATGCTGCCGTGGCTTCTCGCCCTTGAGAGGTTTGACGAGCAAACCGGGCATGTTTCAAAAGCTTTCATGCCATTCGCTCCATGCATCTATCACCAGCCAAGCCAGGTTCACGAGCCTGCAGCTTAGTCAGTCGAGTGCCTGAGCATTCCATCATGCGAAGGAGTGATGGGAAGCTTAGGTGTCAATTCCACCGAGATACTTGACTTGTTCCAACTCAAGTCAGTTGCCTATGCTTCTGACTGTCGAAAGGAGTGCAGCCTTCTTGAAGACTGCAGACTGCAGATGTATCGTAATGTTCGGTGCCGAACAAACCCTGCGAACCTGATGCCATTGTGAGGAGCCGACGGAAATCAGGCCACAGCTTTTGCCGGGATCACTTTGATCAAGCTAAATGCTTGCCTTTCCAGGCACACGACGAGCCTGAACAGCGAGAACGAAGACGAGGCCAGCAATGGCAGTGCGGCATTGATGGGCACTGAGATCCGTATCAGTCAGTATACATGGCCACGAAGGGGAGGAAATGCTTTCAATCTCCTGGTCAGTCAGCCACTGATAGCATGTTGGAGGGCGCCTTTCTGAGACTTAGAGTTGGCTTCGCGCAATACGGCTCAGCACAGGCAGGGAGTAGTTGGACCGTGCTTGGAGCTTTGGTTGTCCGGCATGGTGGTCGCAGGCGCACCAGAACCCAAACGCTTGTGTTGTTCGCCGTGCTGCAACTACACCTAACTGCGTCAGCATGCCCAGGTTCGCAAGATCGTAGCCGCAGCCCCCGGAAAGCCGACGACGCGAAGATCATCGATGGGCGCCGCATTGCTGCAGCCTTGAGTGCTTCGGCCTCCTACAGATGAGATGTCGGTGGTATTCTGAGAAGGGCACTCCCGGCCCGATCCGTGAGGTGAAGATGTGAAGGCGGCTACCACAGAGCTCTATGCGAAGTACGGCGTGACCCCAGGCCTCGCCATCATCGAGGCCTGGGCCTGGGGCACATGCTAGGAAGCGGCGCAAAGGAGGTGTCCGGGTGTGTGGTGCGCGTGCTGTGCGTGTGCGGTGCAGGTGGGAAATCACAGCTTCGGCCAGCTCATTGATTGCATGAGGCCAGAGAAAATGGACGACCAGAAGATCAATTTGTCCAACTTCGCAGAGCTGAAAGCAAAGATGGCCGAGAGATGCGGCATGCATGCACAGATCTTGCGTTTCAGCGAGACTGTGCAGCAAAGCCGGCTGCTGAAGATCATCAGCGACCTGATGGCGGATGACAGCATCCACGGCATTGTGGTCGAGCTGCCCTTGCCACAACATTTGAACGAGGTTGCCATCTTGCAAGCCATCGGTCCAGCGAAGGATGTGGACGGCCTCTCCTTCTCCAACATGGGCCGTGTCCTGGCTGCAGGAGGCTACAAATTCGGAGCAGAGCCAGAGGCACGGCCCACGGTGCCCATGGGCGTCATGGAGCTCCTCCTTCGTTCTCAGGCTCCTCGGCTCTGGGGGGGGTGGGGATACGGGAAAAGGCGCTTCTTCTGGCCCGGCCCGTGTGTTTGCCTTTGCTTTTTCTATTAAGGTAGAGCTCCACTCCAAGCACGCAGTGGTGCTCGGCCGCTCCAGCACCGTGGGGTCTCCCATCGCCGCGCTGCTCACCGCTCACGACTGCACTGTCACGACGTGCCACAGTCAAACCGCTAACTTGCAGGAAGCCGGGTGCTGAAACAGCAAGAAAAGCATGCAGAAAAGAGCACCACGGAAGTCTTGCCCGCCTTTTTTGATACCCGTCGCAAAAAGTCTCATTTGGCAGGAGCACGTCCGGCAAGCGGACATTTTGATTTCCTGTGCTGGACGCCCGGGCCTGGTTCGAGGCGACTGGATCAAGCCCGGCGCGGTGGTGATCGATGTTGGTATGAATGCTGCTTGGTTTTAATAAAGTTTGACTACATGCAGCAGCAGACTGCGAGTCGGGTGGTGCGTTTTCGGTTTCTCTCTATGTGTCGTTCTTCTTTCATGTTGCAGTAGAGGTCGTCCCTGATGCTCAGAAGGGCCAGCGCATGGTTGGGGATGTTTGCTTCCAGGAGGCTTTGCAGAAAGTCTCCAAGATAACGCCAGTGCCAGGGGGTGTGGGCCAGATTTCCTTTGCCATTCTCCTGCGGAATGTACTGAACTTGGCCCGCCGGGCCATGAGCCTGACAAGGATAGGTATCGGTCCAAGCGGACACGAGATGTTCCGGTGCGCGGACACCTTGCGGTTTCCGGATATTGGACTGAAAGTGCCCCGAGTGCTTCTGCCACGGAAAGGCCTCGACCTGACGAAGTGGTGCGTTGTCGCATGCGACCAGTACACGTCCCAGCCGCAGTACTGGAAAGACGTCAAGCAGCTTGTCGGAGACTCTCCGTCTACACTGAACTTGATATTTCCAGAGGTGTACCTGGGTGATGCAAAATCAAACCAACAGATCATCCGCGGCATCAGGGACAAAATGCACGAGTACGACAGAGACCGCATTCTGGTTCCGCAGCATCCAGGCTTCGTCCTGCTGGATCGGAAGACTCCCGTCGTCTCCAGTTGCGGCCTCAATTGTTTTTCATCTCTGAAGCATCATACCGCCCCTTCCACACTTCCAAGCAACAGCCGTTTTTGAGGTCGGAAGGGTCTGTTGGTTGCCCTGGATCTGGAAATGTACAGCTTCGCGAAGGGCTCCCAAAGCTTGATTCGTCCCACCGAGAGTCTCGCTTGTCCTTTCCCCTACTGGGAAGTATATGCGTCAGACTTTGCAAAGGGTATGACTCAAATTAGGCAGAGCCTCGCATGCAAGGAAGACGATCCCTGAACGGCTCCCGCCGCGCATTGCTATTCGGGAGCAGTCGCCCCTCGAGCTGCCTCACATTCTTGTGCCCGGCCTTCGGCTAAACTGACTCAATAAGCTTCTTGGCTCCATCTGCCTTTGCGGTGCTTCGCAGCCTCTAGGTGCTCATTGACGACCCGAAGAAGACGGTGATCGAGCCACTGTTCGACCGATGCGCTGACTTCCCCAAGCTCTACGATGCCTGACGCACAACGGGCCAAGCATCCCCAGCGATAAGACTCACAAGCCTGTCTCATAGGTTGTTGATGTGGTTCCAAGGATTTCGAGCTGATGAAAGGCAGCGGACATCTGAAGGGATATCATGTGGCACAGCGCCCTGGCAGAGAATCTAATCGTTTGAGGTCATGCCGGTGGGACACTTCCAGATCTGACTTGAGATGTATCCACTCTTTCTGTTTGTCTTTCTGCGTGTCTCCGTTTGTGTGTGCACGTGTGTTTCCGTTACTCTCTGGCTTTCTGTGTCCCAGCATGTGGCTTTTTCAAAAACATTGCCTGTGCAGGAGTGACGCTGTGGAAGGGGTGGTGCGGGCGCTGCGGGCTTTGGCCAACCGAGAAGCCTTTGTGGAACGCTATGGTGCCAGCAAAGACCAAGAGGTGATTCTTTTCCCAGTGCCGTTGCCGATCATAGAAAATGTTCTGCGGAAAGCCCGCGGGACTTGATTGCCAGCTATTGCTGATTGGCTTCTGTAGTAGTGTATTTCTGGGTTCGGCATCACAGAGTCTGAGACTCGCAGCGTACACTGCTTTGGGCATACTGCCAGCGGCGACCACGTTGATCCAATGCCTACTGTTGAACCTTTGATTGCAAACGTGAAGAACGAAATCATAGGTTCGAATGCAGTTTGTTCCCGACTCCAGAAAAGGTACGAGGGAGCCAGTTCGGTAGCTCACCAAGAAACTCGAGCATGCTTCGTCCCGATGTCTTTACGCTTGGCTTGCCTAGGTGGGCGATGGAAATCACTCGCTGGCCACAGCTAAGCAGTGCTGGGAGAACCTCAAGAAGAAGGGGGCAGATCCCGAGGATCATCCAGCGCGCCACGCCTTGGTGGAGCTGGTCAACATCCACGACCCAGGAATGACCTTTGAGCCCATCCACCGATTAGTTTTCAACGTTGACGTCAAGAAGGCTTTGGCAGACTTCGAGAGGAAACTGCTTGAGCTAGGCTGTGGCCCAGTCCAGATTTCAGACAGTATGCGCAATGCGCCGCAGCAGAAGGGCTCCCAGCACATCGAGTTCCGGAGCAAGCACACCAGCGGAGTTCTCACCGTCCTGAACCCCAAGCTTGTGCTTGAGGCAGCCACGCTCACAAGCTGGCTGGACCCTTTCCTGGCCGAAAACCCTAAGGCTTCAATAGATTATGTGCATGGCGAGGAGGTGATTGCAGAAAAGACCGCGGAGGACGGAACTTTGGCTTTTCTCTTGCCCATCATGGACAAGAACGACCTGGTGAAGACGGTCGTTAAAGAAGGTGTGCTTCCCCGCAAGACTTTTTCGATGGGAGCGGCGGATGAGAAGCGCTTCTACTTCGAATGCCAACAAATCGTGCCCGAATGTATGTATTTCAAGTCTGACTTCTTCAGACGCGGGACTGTTACCGTCCCGCTCCACGATAAGTAGCCGTAAGGCAAAGAGTCGGCGTGTATCCGCATGTAGATCCCCTTCTCTTTGGCACACCGGCAAGGAAAGCTGTACATACTTCTATCGATTCAAGCTACTACTGCAATGGGAGCCACAGCCTTGTCGTGACAGTTCATGGCTGGTGGCTTTTCAAACTTTCAGGGCCTATTTTACAGCCATGTGTCCTCAGACAGCGTTAGACTGTGGCTGCAGGTGTGGGCTCTGATTCCGGTTTTTGCGCAAAATCCATCAGCTTGTACTTGACTTGACGGTGGTAGTCGTGGGAGTTTTGCAGAGGTCGCATTTGGCGTTCCAAGATAGTCGTCTGGAGAATAAGTCGAGTACAGACAGATCTTGACAGGCACAGGTCTGTCTTGACACCAGGTCCATGATTCGGTTCTATGATAGCGCGCATAAGAGAAAAGTGCGTGTCTGCACGGTATGCAGCTGCCGAAGTGTTGTTGCACTAGACTTCTACCTGGGTGCACCAAGAGAGGGACCGAGCTTCGTGGCGGAGACGTGACAATCAACATGAGCCACTGGACAGTTTCTCGGGAGGTCATTTCCTCGCCAAGGGATCTTGCGTCAGAAAGCTCAGACTTTGCAAGCTTTTGAAAGTTGGACGAAGAGTTTGAGATCGGAACAGCATGTGTCTGCAGTCGGTACCAAGACGGGCGTGGTTTGAGCCAGGGCCATCAATGATGGAGTGGCACGAGCCTCATTGCAAGAAAGGCCACCCAAACACCTGAGACAGATTCCCGTGTCAATCTTAGGCGTGCGGCTTGCACTGCGGTCACTGTCCCAAAGAAGGATGACCCGCAGTCGTGTTCTTGATGTGACGGCACCGCATGGCAAAATACAGTCCGGTAGGGATGGCACGCTTCCGAGCAGAGACGGAGTTTCGCAAAGTGGCAGGATGACCACCCTCAAGATCGAGTTTGGATCATTGGAGGAGTCAATGAGCGCAGTGGCTCCCTCGAGCTTGGAAGTTTCCTTGTGTATGACATGCGGCGACATCGCAAGGGGTTTTGAGTGTCGCACGTTAAGGCGAGCGTTTAAGGACAACCGAATGGCTGGATGTGGTCCAGCCAGCAACTCAAATCCTATGTCCAGACTTCTCCGAGCCGCAAATGTCTTGGCACGTGTCAACATGCCTCCCAAATCGACTTAAATCTGCCTTCAGGGTGGAGCGAAGAGTCCCAAGACCTCGATCTCAGGAGCACCTGCCCGGAATCCAAACTTCCAGGATTCGATATCTACAGGGCTTGAACTTAGGGCTCTGGGGCAAAGAAGCGACCGCATGGCTCAGAGTCTGTCAGAACCTGACGCTTTCGAATCGAGCCGAGACAATGCCACCCATGCAATTACCCGAACCCCGAGTCGCATGGTCGTATGGTAGGAGAAGGGTAAGGGGATGTTGCATGATAGCGTGTGCGATGTTTGCAGCTGGAAGATGGCAGGAAGCTGTCGGTTCCCGCTCTCTCGATTCAATCCCCGAGCACCCGAAACTCAGATCCGGGACAAAGGCCCAATCACATCAACATGACAGCCAGCCGTGCACACGGCCACTCAAGGTTGGGGTTAGAGGGGCCCCCTTCCAAGAATGGGGGTTTACGGAACCGGATACTCCTGATAGGACTTTGGGTTTTCACTCCTCCTTGTTAAGACTCGGAGAACACGAAACAAGGTACCCCGGTGAGGGTTCTGGATGTTTGCACCAGCTTTTGCTCTGAGTCATGGTCACTTGGTTTCTTACTTGCTTGGGTTTTGGCACTTACACACTTCATTTAGGGTTTGGGCTTTGCACACCCATCCGCTCCTTTGGTGCTTTTGGAGTCCGCCTCTCAGGGGTTTGGGTTTCGTACCCGTCCACCGCATCCACGCACTCCATTTAGGGGTTTGGGTTTTCGATGGTTGTTGCACTGCTACTCGTCTTAGGGATATAGGTGTTCACACTTGCCCACGTCTTTTCGGGTTTGGGGTTCTCGCACGATATAATTACTCCTTTTGGGGTTCGGATTCTCGCACCCATCCACTGCGTTTAGGGTCTTCATCCACCCACACCTATTCAGCAACCACCCACTCCTTGATTTTAGGGGTTTGGGTTTTGGCACCACTAACTCCTCTTGGGACTTTGCGTTTCGCACCCACCCGGGTCCTTTCAGTTGTTTGGTTTTTGTGGCAGCTATTCCTTTTAGGGTTCAGTTCTGGTTTCCCAGAGCCCTTCGGGGATTTCAAGTTTCTGCACCCACCCATTCCTTGTATCGGTTTGCGCTTTCGCACCCGCTGCGTCTTAGTCATTTTAGGGTTTGGGGTGTTCGCACGTGGGGGTTTTGGGTTTCGCGCTCACTGATTCTCTTTGGGGGGTGAGTGTTTACACCAGCTATTCCGTTTAAGGTTCTCCTTTCCGGGATTTGGGGCTTGAGCACCCACCAACTTCTTCTTCTCAACAAGGACTGGAGTTTACGGAACCAGGCACTCCTGTTTTAGTTGTTCGTGCTCGCACAAGCTACTCATTTTGGGGTTTAGGGGTTTCGCACCCATCCACTCCATTGTAGGGTGTGCGACGTGTAAGCTCATGCCCGTCTTTTCATCTCAAGTATCTCAAGTGTCCTTCTGTTGGTCCTGCTCGCCCAGCGCGTGTGTGCTGAGTCGCAGACCCGGACCCGGACCCGAATCAAACGAGGGACTGATCCGATTCTATCGAGTTCCCAGAAGGGCAGGATGAAATAGTGCGAAACGGGGCCCTTACCAGACACTTGTAGCATACTCAGAAATCATCGTTCAAGCTCTGCAGTGCTGGTGAGGAGGGTGAAGAAAAGGTGGACGAGCTACCAGAAGCAGCCGAAGCAGCTCCTCACATCGAAGAGTCAGATGCCGCTCCCCCGCCTGCAGAAGGCGAGGCCGAGCCAACCCAGAGAGAAGGTGGGCCGAGGAAACGCATGGAATGCTAGTCCTTGACGGTGCTCTGCCGCAGAGAGAGGTGAAGAGGACGAGAATGACGACGACGCCGATGAGGCTTACTCAAGCACGATGCCCACCAAGGACTCATCGATCTGCTAAGAGGGAAGAGGAAGTTTCCGATTCGACTGTTGCAGGACGTGCCTGCTGATGTAGATGATGCAGAGACCTCCATCGTCACGGAAGCCTTTCAGCTCTTCGCTTGCGGTATGAGTTTCTGTTCTCTCTCAGTCTCACCTCTGCGCTTGGCCTCAAGGCCGGGCCCTTCTCTCGCTTCGGCTCGTTCCGGCTTGGCGGCGGTGCGGCTTTGCCCTCGGCTTCACATATTATAGTATATTAGAGTATATTCTTGTCGTATACTATAGAAAATTATTGCAAGAAAGTTGGGTATGGCAAGTCGAGAGTCTACACTGAGGCTAAGCGACACCGTGGTGCTGATTGCAGGAGGCATCCTGCCCCAGCCCTCAAAGAAGCAACCTCAGGAAAACGCAGTCACAGGCGTTGGTGCAGATGGCGAGCTGCTAGATACCACGGAGGTCGGAGACAATCAACGGTGCAAGACGCAAAGTAGCAGAGTCAGGGTCAGTGTCAGCGGATTCTTCTCAGTTCTACGACTTCGATGGCCGCAAAGATGAAATGCAAGAAGGGCCGCTCCTATCCTGGGGCTGCAACAGCACCGGCCTGGAAGAAGCATGTCCGAGGGTCTAGGAACTCTTTGGGGGTCTGTACCTGCTGCCCAGGCCAGGTTGGCTTCAGCTACTTCGCAGCTTCGCGAGCTGCGTAGCAAAACAAGCGGTGGATGGTCAACACGACCGTCTGACCGTCTCGTGGTCACCCCAATTACTTCCTCAATGTACAAAATGCTTTGGTAGTGATGGGGAAGCGAGGCTGTTTCGCCAAAGTAAAAACGAATCACAAGCCATGGGCCCACTTCCCTCTAATGGCCCAAAGCGGATCGAGCTGTCTCACCGCGGAACGAAAAAGCTACGTGGTCCTGCCCAAGCCCTAGCCAGAACTCCACCTACTTGTCAGCAAGCTCGGCCAAGTGGTATGCGTGTTCCGTTATATACTTTGGGGCACAAGCCGGTTCACCAGGGTAGTAATATCCTGAACGGCTGCGACCTCGATGCTTGTAATTTGATGTCACATGCGCAGCCAGCGCTGCGCGGCGGCCAATGGCCACGGCTGCTTTGTTTGCAGTCGCAGTTAACGTTTTCTGAAGGAGTTGCAGTCTATGTGTCTAGTAAAGTAACGTATTCGATTCATGGTACCGGGCCTGATGTGAGCCGGTGCTACAAATGGAAGGTGCTGGCTATGCTGGTAGTCCATCACTCTCTGTGCAGCTTCTCAACAATGATGAAGATCTTCCAGCTACCCAGCCGCCTCATTTCAGGCCTGCCCTCCCGCTTTTCGATTACCAGCTTCGCAGCTTGGGTTGGATGATGGCCAGGGAAGATGCTACGGAAGGCATCCGCGGAGGTATTCTGGCAGACAGCATCGGTTTCGGGAAGACTACCATCACTTTGGCACTGATGGACCACCGACGCTGCAAAGAGTTGCCGGTGAATTCAAAAGACTTGATCCCATCGCGTGCCACACTCATCATGATGCCACCGAACCTTTGGAGACAGTGGCAAAACGAGATCCAGAAGTTTCTACCTGTTGGATCCTTGCGTGTTTTGGCAGCCGCAAACGGGGGAGAACTGAGAAAGTTGTCAGTGGAGGACATTCAAGAAACGGATGTTCTAATCGTCCCCTACCAGATTTTCCGTGGCCGGGCGTATGCCGGCTTGAAGCTGAGATTGAAGCATTTCTATTGGCATCGCATCATCGCAGATGAGTTTCACGAGCTAATCGGCGCAGCTGTCGATGGCGAACATCCCTTTAACGAGGCCAAGCACCAGCTGAGCCATCTCCAAGCAGATTCTCGCTGGGGTTTGACCAGCACGCCTCCATTTAAGACCGTTGCAGAGGCGGCGATCACCGCGACGTTTTTTCAGATGACGGTCAAGCGTACGGAGCAGGACTCCCGAAATTCGTAGGGTTTGGGGCCTTCTGACTTCTTTGTCGATCTTTCTGCTGGACCTTGTACCCGAAACAGGACTGCCGACTCTTTATCGAGAAGATGGTCCGTCAGAACACGAACTCCGTGAAGTTGCCAGATGTCGTGCAACACAAGGTCGAGGTCCTCCAGTCCAGACATGAGAGGGCATTGTACCTGCAACATGAGAGGGAAAGCCAACAAACCCAGAGTCACCAGACTGGGGTTCTATGGGACTGCGCATCTCTTCACTTTGTGCATTGCGAGGGAAGTCCGAGAGGTAAGATGAAGTCTCCTGAGCAGCTCTGCCTCGACATGCTGAAGCGAAATCAAGAAGAAACTCGAAAACTCGACAACAACTTGTTTGAGCACTCCGTGAAGATCGAGGCATACTTCCGCGCCTACCGACAGCTCCTGGAAAATAGTGCCATGGGCTCGCACGATGACTTGCTGGCAAGGTCTGGGTTTGGGGGCGGGTCTGGGTCTGTGTTTCCTTTAGATGGCCCCCCCTTAAAAAGAGAGGTTCCTATGAGCTCTTGCGACTTGCATTGCTCGGTCGAGGCGTGCTGAAGGCGAGGCTGCGCCGGGGCGAGAGCAAGGATTACAGCAGCAGGACGACTTGAAGTCCAGGCGCGCTGGCTGCCTCTGAGCAGTGTCGGATGTGGTACGAGGCCCCAGTTCGACTTGATCAGGTTGCAAAGCTGCAGGCAACTAGACGAGGAATCCTACCTCAGTGAAGGGAGAAAGGCTGCCAACGTGCTGCCCTCGGAATCCATCTCTGTGATGCTTGCATGCAGCGCTGAATCTGCACTCCATCAACTCGGCTTTCTGAGGCCATGCGCGTCAGATGTATTGAAGAGGCTGCAGTGCAGAAGCAGATTCATCGAAATGACGTTCTGGAGACTGCCGGAGCAAGAATCTCCTTTGAAAAGCTTCTTGCAGCCATTGACCGGGAATGTCACAACGAGCTGTCCTGCCTCCGGGCTGAGTTCCAAGAACATCTTCTTCTAATCTCACAGGGCTGTTCGCGTTGTCATCGACTCTTTCCCAGGTTTAGGCTCGTTCATGGTACCAGCGACAGTCGAGTAATCCCCGACAAAACCCAGTCGCTCCCTCCCACTCTGGCTTTCGCTCTTTCCCTCTACTACCGTGAGGTCGTTAGTCTTACAGTCACTACATCATTCCCTATCTTCTTCCTGCTCATGAGATCGAAGCGGGTAATCCTTTCGATCGGAGTGAGAGCTGGGAGACCTTAAGGCATGCGGCTCTTGGAGCAGCATCTGACGAAGTCCCTCCTGTTTGAGAGATCGCTCCAAGATACCGAAGAAGTTTTTGAATGCCCCATCTGCTACGATGACTTCGCCTGGAGCGAGTGCGGCATCGCCCCATGTGCCCACAAAGCCTGCATGCGTTGTTGGGGCATCTGTCTCCATCAGGATGGACGATGCCCTATTTGCCGCTCCGAAGTCATGATCCAACGCGTCGTGTCCGTTGACATCCCCAAGGCGTTCATGCAGCAGATGCCAGACACTCGCAGCTTGGTGCAGAAGCTGGGCCAACACCACAACCGGCGGCAGTCTTTGGAAATGTACAGCGCCTACGGATCTAAACTCCAGAGCGTGATGGAGACGATTCATGGGTGTGGTGCTCAGCTCTCAGAGACGGAGGTGGGGATAGATTGCAGTGCCAAGTTGCTACAGTAAGGATCTGGGACAGCCAATCCGGTGCCAAGATATTGGTTTTCTGCCAATCAGAAGAACTTCGCAGCACAGCGGATGTTACTTTGCATTGTTGAGTTTGTCGGTAATTGGCCAGTCTTGCACTTTGCCTTGCTGAATCCAGTCAGCGAAAGCAGAGGCTGCGTTCTGGTCTTTCGGGGTCGAGCACGTCACTTTGAAGGGCGACGCGCTGGAGCGTTCAAAAGCAGTCAACCGTTTTGTGGAGTCTCCACAAACCAACGTGATGCTGTTATCCATGGACTCTAAGTTGCAAAGCAGGGCTTGCAGGCTCCAATGGGCACCTTGCAAAGTTCAGCGCTTGATCTGAGGAGATCTCTCCGAGCGGCCTCAATCTCACCATCGCCAATCACATCATTTTGGTGCAGCCAACAAAGCGGAGTGAGGATGAGACGAGCGTGGACTTCGAGGAGCAAGCAATAGGACGATGCTGGCGAACCGGTCAGCAGTCGATCGTGCACGTATGGCGCCTTTGCATGCTTGGAACTGTTGAAGAGGAAATGGTAGATAGGCATATGGTAGCTTGGACAGAACGGCAGATCAAAGTTGGCTCAACACCACAGGCAGTAAACCATTGCCCTCGTGGTTGAAGGCCACATGAGATGGCGCTGTGTGCTGCCATGTTCAGAGGCCGCAAAGCAAACGGCTCATAATTCAATTCAATCAGGCATCTCCTTCTACACGGCTATTCTTCGTGTTGTTGATCGCTCTCACACGCATAGCCCGTCACGAAGCCGCATGCAGAAATGCTGCGGGCATCCGCCAAGTCGGTTCAGGCAGGGACAAGACCTGACCCGGTGGAGCCCAGCACAAGCCGTAGAAGTGCCCCTGCAGAGTTTGTACAGGCAAGTGGCCAAGGATGATTTCCAAGGCTTTGTGGCAGACAGCTCGCCTTCAAGAAAAGGTACTCTTCAAGCATCAAGCGAACAAGCACATGTCCGACAAAAGGTTTTTTTTACTGTCCCGATCACAATCACGATCCAGACTCTGTCACAGCATTCCGGCTCATACTGCTACATCCGTACTGTGGCACGAGACAGGGAGACGGGCATGCGCCAGACTTGGGTGCAAGGCAGGGCTTTTTTCAGTTTCCAGAGCACTTCAACCCAGGTTGCGGAGCGCCATTTTGCGGGAAGCACACGTGCCTTGGTACAAGAAGTTCAACTGGTACAGCTTCGCCCTGTACCGGTACAAGGCCTGTTGAGCGGCTCCGCCTAACATCAGACTGCTCATCAATCAAATCCAGCCACGCAGGTCTACGATGTCATTTGGCGCGTTTCGGCTACCGCGACCATCGGCTCTGACCTTAATGCTCGCTACTGCAGTAGTCCTTGCCTCCATGCTGACGAGACTCCCGGCAAACCACTGCAAGGTGCATGCCTCTACTTGAGTGTTGCCGTAGTACAGACGTGGAATGCCTCCGTGCATCGGACCTGGCAACATTATGCCAGAAAGGACATCTTCGCGTTCATAAACCTGCGAAGATCTGCACTCACAAGCCTCCAGTGATGATGTCTTGCGCAGGAGCGAGAGAGAGCAGAGCTCATGGACTTCATTCGCCAGGCAGTGCCAGCAGGGCGAGAGGAGCTCTGGCGTTCTCTTCAGCTGTGGCTGACAGGCGCGCGAGAAAGGTACGCTCCCACCCAGCAAGGCAGCGGAACATCTGAGTGTGTCAGGTGGTATACTTGTTGCTCATGGACGGTTTGCCAGGTCGCTGGCTTTGAGTGATTGTGGCTTGGGTGAGGGTGGCCTTCGCGTTTCAGGTAGGCCTTTCTCGCCCGAGTAGGTCTGTAGTTCGGGCTACGACACTACGATGTCCCAGCGATGTAGAAGGCTAAGCTAGCCGTTTCACCATGGCTGCAGACAGTAGCTGTAGCCGGATGTCGTCTAGACGGCTCTCTGAGTCCCCAAAAGCAGTCAAACGATGTCCAACAGCTTGCACCTTCTCGCACGGAACATAAAGCGTAGAGCCTGTGGTGGCCGCACCTGACGGGGCCTTTCTCGGGTACATCATGTGGCCGATTGCAGATCCATCTTTTGAATTGTAGACCGACAAAGACGCATACACTGGCCGCGGCCTGCGAACGGAGCCGTCGCGCAAGCACAAGCGCAACCAAAAAACCACTAAGCCCACCATCAGCATCTGGAATATCTATTTGTTCCATGCTTTAGACCTGCGCCTTGTTTGGATTGTACATTGGTTTCGAGGTGCCTGGAGCCCAAGCCTGTAACTCCTAGAGAGCCTGCCTTTAAAGTTCACATGCTGTTCGGCAAATGCAGCCGGCGATGTGTCCAGATGTGTTACGCTTATGGCTGTGGCCAGTGAGGGAGATGATCCTCAGACTGACATGGTTCGGCCTGACCAGCCACTGAAGTAGGGCCGCCAAGCCTCTGCAGCATCCAAGGAGGTATCGAGCCGCATCAACGTGGCAGTCCGCTGCCGGCCGCTGTCGGAGACCGTCGCATGGCACTCAATTGACGTAAGAGAGGCACACTGCCATGGCCCATGGGCATTTTTTCAAGCCAAGGGCCTCTGTTCATGGTTCGGCTTCGGCTGGAACTCCTGTCTCCCCAAGCCGAGGAACGGAGCAACAATGTACAGAGCATCTGCAGGGTCATGGACAGGCGGCTGGTGATCTTGCTCGACCCAGGACTCGTAACTTTGAGAGGCGGCACGCTTGCGAGGATCGGCACCGGGCCCATGTCCATGCCCACCGTGTGAAGATCGCAGGAGCATCAGCTGCCAACGACTACCTTCGGCAAGATAAGTCCAAGGAGAAGCGCTTTGCGTTCGACCAAGCTTTCGGTTCAGATGTCGATACAAAAACTCTTTTCAAAGCCACCGCAGAGCCGCTGATCAAGTCGGCCGCTTGCTTTCAACTGCTCTTTCTGTATCTCCCGGGCTTAGAAGCTGCTTCGCGCACCCATTTTGTCCAAGGTTCTGCAGGGCTACAATGCCACTGTTTTCGCTTATGGTTCAACTGGAGCTGGAAAGACGTTTACCATGATCGGCACCACGATCGAGCCCGGCATCATGTTTCGCACGGTAGAAGAGATCTTCGCGGGTGTTGCCGAACCTGGCGAACATAGCTTTACAGTAACCTGCACCTTCGTGGAAGTCTACAACGAAAACCTACGAGACTTGGGATCTGGCGATTGCAGGGAGGGAATTCTCGACCTGAGGGAGGACCCCGTGACGGGAACGTATGTAGCTGGTATCACGGAGATCCGAGCAGCATCGGTGCAGGAGGTGATGGACGCTTGGCTGATGGGACCTTAAACCCTGGAACTGCAACCATCAAGATCTAGCTGCACTAGCAACCTAGGCCTGTGAAGCCGTAAGCTTGAGGATGCTACTGGCAGAACCGAGGACTTGCTCCAGATGGGCAACCAGCGCCGGACGACCGAGCCGACGTCCATGAATGTCACCTCATCCAGGTCGCACGCAGTTCTGCAAGTACGGGTGGAGCGCCGCGGCAATCCTTCTGGCACCCTGACCGGCAAGCTTTCGATGATTGATCTCGCTGGCTCGGAACGTGCTTCTCATACCAACAACAGTGGGATGCGACTCTTGGAGGGGGCCAACATCAACAGATCCTTGCTGGCTCTGGGAAACTGTATCAATGCCTTGGCCTCTGGGTCCCACTTCGTACCATACCGGGACTCGAAGCTGACGAGACTTCTCAAGGATTCCCTTGGCGGCAACTGTCGCACGGTCATGGTCGCAAATATTTCTCCAAGCCACTTGAGTTATGAGGATACGCTGAACACTTTGAAGTACGCAAACCGGGCGAAGCACATCCGGGTCCGCGCAAAGCAAAACCTTGTCCGGCCAGACGAGCACGTGAGCCAGTTCGAGCAAGCGATTGCCGACCTGCGCAACGAGGTCTCCATCCTGAAGTCACAGCTCGCGAATCGAAGGGAGGCCCCAGACGCAGTGGAAGGAGCCCCGCATGTCAGCACCATGTTATTCTCATCTCCCCTCTGGCTCTAGGCCCTGGGGTCTTCAGGGTGTTTTGAACTGAGGAGACGAGAACGTGCTGAAAGAAGCCAGCGAGAACTGGAAGTTGGAAGTGATTCGGAACTTAGAGAGCCGAACATCCTTGCAGCGTCCTGGGGCTTTACTATTCCTGACCATACACCGCCTTTGCTTTTTGTTTCCTTGCCCTTGAAGATTCAGGGATGGCTCAACATGCCTCTGAGACCCAGGTTCGCTCATCGATGTCGAGCGCGGTCTCTCGCAGTGGAGAGTTGAGCTGGAGCAGGCCAAGGAGCTTTGCCCCGTCTGACAGGGCTGGTGGTCCACCACCTTCTATGGAACACCATGAACCGTAGAACCGTGCTTGATTCCGCTTCTTGTTGCACGAGAACCTTCCTACAGTACAGGGTGCCCTGCCTGTATCATGCTAGATGGCAGTTTGCAGGAATCGTCTTGCCAATAAATGCTGCCGCGTGTCTTACAATCTTGACATCCCAGCGGTGCTTTGCTGGCACCATCATCGTAGACAGTTGCAGGAGATCATTCTGCATTGGGAAGAGCGGTCCGAAGGCAGCGCCGCTTCAACTCGTCGTTGCTTGGCAGGTGAGCCAGAGCGGCATACTGCAACGGTCACAGCCGGAGAAATCACCATCTTTGCAATTCATCAAGTTGCAGTCTGACGAAATGCAGCCCAGGTTCCGATGCAAAATCCTTGGAGGAGTGGAAAGAGGCCACGGCCCAGATCGAAGAAAGCATCAAGGACGAAGCACGGGGGAGACTCCAGGGCTCCTGTGGAAATGCAGCTTTTCTAAGCTTTCGAAGGAGAACATCGAAACCAGACGATCATTGAACGAGCGGCTTCAGCAAAACAAAGTTGCAGGCACGTTTTTTCTCCACAAGTTGCATCTTCTGTTTCTATCAAAAGCCAGATGTGATGTTCGCTCCACAAACATGCTTTTGAGTACCCCTGATGCACGGCGAAAGCTTGCACAGCTCTTCGACCCTCCGCGGGCATACCTCTCAAGGAGTGGGCCTGCGCAGTTGAGCGATGGACTACGCTTGAAGGCGAGCAAAAAGCCCTCCAGTGTGTGAGAGAAGCCCGTGGACTTCGTGTGCTTCGGGTGAACCGTGTTTTGGTTCTTCAAGTTGGTAGCGGAGCTCAGCGTGCTCCAGGAGACCTTCCAGTTCGCAAACTATGGGCGGCTCCGGAAAGGGCAAGGATGGCCCGACCTCTTCGACCCTCGCCGCTGGCACCTCCAACCCGGACGTTGTGAGGGACAACTATATTCCTCTTTTCGATGGACAGCCCAGCTCCTACAAGGAGTATCGAAAGAGAGTGGCGCTGTATTATAAGAAGATGAGCCTGGCGAACAAGAAGACGGAGGCCACCATCAACCTCCTCACGTCCCTCAGCGGACCCGTCTGGAAGCAGGTGGAGCACCTCTCGGAGACCGCCCCGGATGATGAGAATGGCTTCAACATCGTGTTGCAGGAGCTGGACAGAGTTTATCAGTATGACAGCAGGGTCGAGATGCCGAAGGCCTTTGAGCGTTTCTTCTACGGTGTCAACCGGCCCTACGGCCAGACCCTCATCCAGTACTGCTCTGATCACCGGGAGGCCGCCAGGGAGCTGGAGCGGCACGACGTGAAGCTCCCAGATCCAGTCGGAGGTTGGCTGCTGCTGAGGAGAGCAGCCCTTGCGGCCGAGCAGAAGCAGCTCGTGATGAGCCAGGTGGACAACAAGAAGCTCAGTGTGAACACGGTCGAACAGGCCCTCTTCTACCTGTTCGGCCAGGATTACCGCACGAGCCGCTCGGAACCCCGCCCAAGTGGAAAAGGCAGAGGGGTCCACCCTCCTCGCTGGAGCTCCTACCGCGGACATTCTCCTGCCTACCCGGCCGAGGACGAGGAGCAACCATACGAGTACTACGAGCCCGAGTACCACGAGGACTCCTTGGAGGCCCAGTACTACGAGGAGGAGCCGGATCACTACGAGGACGAGGATCCGGAAGTCGCGGAGGCGGACACCTACGACGGCAACTACCTGGCTGATGAAGACGAAGGCGATGAGGTAGTGGAGGAAGCCTATGCCGCCTACCTGGACGCCAGGCGAAGATTCGCCGAGGTGAAAGCGGGCCGCGGCTATTACCCGGTGGTGGCCATGGTTGACCCACCAGGTAACCAGATGCCGATTGCCGCGGTTCCTGGAAAAGGGAAGCCTTCAAAAGGAAAAGGGAAGCCGAAAGGAAAGGGCAAGACTGGAGGCCCACGCGGGCCGGCACTGCCCTCAAAAGGTGCAGCCCGGGCAGACAGCACGAGATGCCTTCGATGTGGACAGGTCGGACACTGGGCTTCTCAGTGTCCAAAGCCACCTACACCCTCGAACGTGACCTCACCCTCGTCGCCGAACAAGAGGCCCAAGCAAGGGACGGCTATGATGGCGATGGGCGCCGACTCATTGCTGGCACCTCGCCGTTTCGGCCGCTGTGTTGGCCTACAGGACGGCGGCGCCTCTTCGATGGTGGGTGGCCACGACTACGTCATGGAGGTCATCACGGAGTATGTGGCGGCAGGGCTCGACCCCGAGACCCTCGCGTTCTCCCAGACGAACAAGAGCTTCCTGTTCGGAGGAGACCACCGCTGCATTGCGGACTGGAGCGTGCACCTGCCAGTCTGGATTGGTGGGACCAAGGGCCGCATCCAGTGCTTCTTGGTTGAAGGCAGCATGCCGATCCTTGTCGGAAGGCCCCTCCTCAAGGCGCTGAAGGTGAAGGTCGACTATGACACCGACATGGTGTCGGTGCTGGGCGAGCCGTGGACGGCTGTTCTAAAAGACCCGAAGGGAGAACATCTTCTCGCCCTGGACGACGGCATGAACGAGGACACCCTCCACGTTGACTACGACTTCGACTATGTCACCGATGACTGTGTTGAAGACTTCCTCGCCGATGGCGTTCTCCACAGTCTCGGGGACTACCTCAAGCAATCCGGACGAGTGGGCCCCGTCTTCACCATGGAAGAGATGATGCTGGAGGAGGACGAACCCACGGTCAACCTCCTCGACGACAAAGCCCAGGAACTCAGGGAGAACCACAACCTCGCGCCGGCTGTGGAGTGCGTGGTGCCGACCACGCTCTGGAAGAGCATCATCTTCGGCATCAACCGTTCCAAGAACAACATCAACAGGCAGCTGGAAGCTGCCTACCGGGCATCGGATGAGAGCTGTGCTCTCTTCTGGGAAGTCTACAGCGGCTCCGGCAACTTGGCCGCTGCCATGCGTGAGTATGGTTTCCAGACCCGAACCTTCGACCTGCCAGAGTGGAACTTTGAGGACGCCAGCCACAGACGGTCCTTCTTTGAAATGTTGGAGAAAGAGATGCCACACATTGTGTGGCTGGCCCCTCCCTGTACGAAATGGTCACCACTCCAGAACCTCACCCGGCGTACCCAGGAGGACCTCGACGTTCTGCAGGCAACCAGGGACTATGAGCACCACACCCACCTCCTCTTCGTGAGACGAGTCTTTCTGAGGATGGCTCAGCTAGGCATAGCAGTCATTGAGCACCCTCAGAACTCCAAGGCGTGGAGCACCCCGGCCCTACACGACCTGGGTTTGGAAGTCATTGTGGACCAGTGTGCCTTGGGAGCCGCCTTGCCGGACGCCCATGGGAATCAGGTTCCCATCAAGAAGGCGACGAAGCTGGTAGTGAACCACCAGCTGCTCACCGAGACCCTGGGAGTCTACAGGTGTGACGGGAGCCACCGCCACCAGACCCTGGCGGGCTCTACTGGGATGATTGGTTCAAGGGCAAGGGCGGCCAGTGTCTACCAGCCGAGGATGTGTAGTTTCCTTGCGGAAGCCCTACAGGGAGCCTACTACGCCCACTTCATCTACGGGAACTCCACGGCAGAAGAGGCACTGCCAGCCTCAGACGTCGATATGGAAGAGTACGAGCCCTCCGAAGGACCACCGGAAGATGACGACCTCTACCCCTCAAGACGGCAGACGACATCAACGACATCGACCTTCCATCCAACCAGGACATTGAAGCAGAACGCCGTTTTGGAAGGGGCGAACCGATGGTTGGAACAGACCCAACAAAGTCAGAGCCTACTTCCGCACATCCCATTGCACAACCAGATCCACCACAATCGGAGTCTACTTCCACACATCCCGTTGCACAACCAGATCCACCACAATCGGAGTCTATCCCTACGTCCGTCAAGCTGACAGGGTGCCTACAGAAGTTGGAGTGCAGGACGCCGGCAGAGGCACAACGCATTGTTGCACGTCTGCACAGGAACCTTGGACATCCCAGCAATCGAGACTTGAGGGTTGTTCTGGCACAGAGTGGAGCCAACAGATTGGTGGTGGAGACGGCCGAGAACTACCAGTGTCCCACGTGCCGGAAGCTGGCACCTCCCGTGCAAGTCCCAAAGACTACACAGCGGACCACCTTCCGTTTCAACGAGAGACTGCTCTCCGACACAGTCTGGTTGCAGGTACTGGACAAGACCGTCCCAGTCATCACCATGATGGATGCTGCCGCCCGATACGTTGCTGCCCGGGTGGTGCGAAGGGAGACCTCGACGGAGTTTCTACAAGCCCTGGAGCGAGGCTGGATCCGTGTCTTTGGCCCACCAAGAACACTGTTCGTGGACAGCCACCGGGCATGGGGCAGCGACGAGGTGATGCGCTACGTGAGATCTCCCCGGTGAAGCACATGAGCGGCTAGCCCAACTCGAGCGACGCCACCAGGTGCTTCGACGATCAGTGGAGCTCTACTTGGAAGACAACCCTCCCACTGGACAGGAGAGCCTCGTTGAGGCCCTCTGCTTTGTGATACCTCAGCTCAACCAGAGCCTCTCGGTTGGTGGCTTCAGCCCGACACAATGGGTCCTTGGCTACCAGCCCAACATACCCGGGAGCCTCTTGGACTCCAATGTCAACTACAGCCACCTTGACCCCACCGAGGCCTTCCAGCACAAGATGCAGTGCCGTGTTCGCGCAGCAACCGCGGTGGTTAAAGCGGACAATGACCTACGCCTCCGACGAGCCCTACTACGACAACATCGAGGCAATCCACCGCGAATGCTGGTTGGGCAGAAGTGTTTCTACTGGCGTGAAGCTGCGGGCACCGGCCCCCGCATTCGGTGGAAGGGGACCCGCTACCGTGGTCCTTGTGGAATCCCAGCGAGGTCCGGACCATCCTCCAACAGTGTACTGGCTGGTACATGGGTCGGCCCTGATTCGGGCCGCACCTGAACACGTCCGCCCGGACCTTGAGTCGGACACCTTGGCCGCGGACACCCCGGCGCTTCACACCATGGTGCGCCACGTGCAGAACCGCGGCACCACAGTGTACCTGGACCTCTTCAAGACCAACAAGAAGAGACGTCGGGAAGACCTCGCCCACTCGGACGATGAGGCCATGGATGACGACAACGACAACCCTCCACCTCCGCCAGGCAGACCTTCGCTACTACCACCGCCGTCTTCCGCAGAGGCACCGTCGCCTACCTGGCCGAGTCTACCGGACTCTTCGGACATCCTGGACAGCGAGGGCAAATTTCCGGACTCACCGAGCCCCTCCTCGCGACCGCGCGGACCACCGCCACCACAACCTCTCCGCCCCCCCCGAGATCACGCTGGCGGCCCGCCAGCGGGGCCTACACCTACTGAGGCGGCCAGTACGCCAGTTCCAAGGGAGGAAGACTCAGACAGCGAGCAGCTCGATGACGATCCCTCTGTGAACCCGGACCCGGACCAGTCTGCCGAGGCAACGACCACTGCACCCACCACTGCGGATCGGCCCGGGACAGCGACAGGAGCAGAAACTTCGGCATCTGGTACACCGAACGACGAGCTGCACCACACCTTCACCTTCGAGCAGAAGAGGGCCCGCATCGACAGGAGCGAGACCATCAGCCACGTCATCCACCCGACCTTCCGTACCCCAACCACACCGGAGACGTTCACACAGAGAAGGGCCCGCATCGACCGCAGCGAGACCATCAGCTACGGGCCAAAAGGACCGACTACCCCCTCGCGACCACAACCATATGGCCCCACGACTGAGCATGGCTTCCTGGTCGACGTCTTAGAGCCGCAGGTCACCGATGACTATGTCAACACCGGACTTCCTTCCGGGTGGTATGCCGACGAGTCTGGATACCTCGCCTTGGAGCCTATCCACGACACCTGGGAGTTGAAGGGGAATACCTTGATCCGGAACCACTACGTTGCCCGGGACTCCCTGTTCAATCCCCGTGAGACCGGCGACTGCCCCATTCCTGAGGAGATGCTGACGAAGGACCGGACGACCCGACGAGGAAGACATTGCCACCAAGACCGCTGGCGGAACTCCTCCACTGCGGGTACCGACCAATATTGGACGGGTCAGACCTCGTTCAAGGTCCTTGCGCGCCATCGACAGGAAGCACAACAAGCATTCTACACGGCATCCAACGGGGCCACCACCTACTCCGGAACGAGAGAGAAACGCCAGAAGGATGCTCGGGCCAACCTGAGTGAAAGAGCCATGTCGTTGGCAGACAGGGTGGCATTCGTACAGGCGAAGAAGAAGGAATTGGAATCGTTTTTCACGAACCAGGTTTGGGAATTTGCGACAGAAGGGGAGGCACCGGCCAACCGCGTGTTGAAGGCCCTGTCGCGATTGGGGAGGACTACCCTTATGTCATTGGCTTCGTTGAAGGCATGGAACACCTTCATTGCCGACATTACCACGGCCTTCCTCCAAGGAAGAGAACATCCGGCCTCCCGAACCTTGTGGATACGCCTTCCAGCCGATGCCCGGGCCCTACTAGGCATCACGGAACCGAGGGTCCTGATGAGACTCCGAAAGCCGATGTACGGCCTCTCCAACGCGCCCCGCGCGTGGTACGAGGAAGCGTCGCGAAGGCTACTGTCCCTCGGCTTCACGAAACATCCACTTGATGGATGTCTCTACCTACTGTCGGACACCGAGCTGCGCTGCGCGATCGGCCTCCACGTGGACGACTTGCTCGGGATTGCAGACCCAGCATGGTCTTCCAAAGTCAAAGAGGATTTGCAGGGCCTCTTTGCTTTCAGGGACTTCAGAGAGAACCAGGAGTGTTTCGACTTTCTGGGCACTCAGGTGTCCAGACAGCCTGATGGAGGACTAGCTTGCGGACACACCGAGTACATCAACAAGGTGAAGCCCATCCCCCTGGAGAAGAGCCGCCAGGCCGACCCAGACAGCCCTGCCACCGACAAGGAGAAGACGCAGCTGAGGGCCCTGGTAGGTGCACTTCAGTGGGCGGCCACACAGACCTCCCCACATCTGCAAGTGCACACCTCTATGCTTGCAGGAGAGGTTCCTCGAGCCACGGTTGCCACCATCTTGGCAGCAAACAAGGCGCTTCGCTTTGCCAAGGCCAATTCGGACGTGAAGCTCCTCTACGCCCCGATCCTGGACAACTCGGAGGACATCGTGTTCCTGGCCTACTCCGACGCTGCCTTTGCAAGCCGAACTGACTTGTCAAGTCAGGGAGGATACATGGTGTGCCTGACCCACCGGGCGATACTGGATGGTGGGATCTGCAGCTACCACCTCCTTGACTGGAGGTCGTTCAGACTTCCACGAGTGGCCCGTTCCACCCTTGCAGCCGAAGGACAAGCCGCTGCCGAAGCAGCCGACTGCCTCCACTTCGTTATCACGTTCTGGAAGGCGCTTCTTGATCCGGGCTACAAGATCAATGGTGAGGAGCACTGTTTCCGCTGGAAGAATGAGAGCCTACTCGTGATTGACGCCAAGTGCCTCTACGACATCCTCCATCGTGAGGAGCTCTATGTTTCGAGCACTGCCGACAAGCGGATGTGCCTCGAGGCGTTGGTCACCCGGGACAAGTTGAAGGAGATCGGCGGAAGTGTGCGATGGGTATCATCAGAACGCCAGTATGCCGACGGCCTTACGAAGGATTCCGCGACCCAGCTGCTGGCGGACCGACTGAGGACACATCAGCACAAGATCACCGCGGATGAGACGTACCAGGCCAGCAGGAAGTAGGACGCCAATGAGAGGGCGAGGAGCGCAAACCAGTTCGCGCGGCCCAAGGCTGCAGCGTCTGCACTTGCAGCCACCGCCTTCCTGGCAATGCCTACGACGGCCCTTCGAGCTGAAGACCTGGGAGCCATTGTCACCTACAACCTCCCGGAGGAGATCTACTACTACGAGACCGGGACCTACGTGTTCGCGATCCTACTGGTGACGCTGGTGCTTGTCTACTGGCACCCCTGGACGAGGTGGACATTCCTGCGGTTCCGAAGAACCGCCCCCTGCCCTGCAGAAGCAGAGGCCTCTACCCAGACGGGGATTCTAAGTACTCATGGGAGCGCCCAGACCGACGCTACCTACCTCGTGGAGCCCTTCCCGGAGATGAGGACTTTCCTCAACCACAGTGCGCAGACTGACAGCCTGACCCGGTCGAGCCGACATTCCTCGATCGAGACCGTGCTGCTGGAGCTGGCCACTGTGCGTGACCAGAACCGAAGGCTGGCTGCCGCCGTTCAACAGCAGCAGCACCTCATCGACTACCACACCAGCAACCGGTTGAGCCATCACCACGTCGGGGACATCTACGTCACGCCTCATGGACGCGTGTGGCACACAAGCTACGTCTGCGCTCAGAGCCGCACCGAGAACCGCATGCAGACGAGAACCCCATGCTCGTACTGCACGGATTCCTGGATACCAGTGCCTCCGCACCTCCGGTACAATCCCAACTTCCGGTTGCAGCATGTGCCGGACCAGGACCCTACCGCCACCTCATCGACTACAACACCACCAACCGGCGGTCACACCTTCCAGGTTCTTGGCGAGACGGGCTCCTCCTGAACCTTTTGATTCTCGAGTTGAAGAGCTGGACGTCTAACAGACGCCCAACATTTTTCAAGTGACCACACATGGCGCAATAACCGCCCCCTGTGTGATGTTCGCTCCACAAACATGCTTTTGAGTACCCCTGATGCACGGCGAAAGCTTGCACAGCTCTTCTACCCTCCGCGGCCTCCGCGGGCATACCTCTCAAGGAGTGGGCCTGCGCAGTTGAGCGATGGACTACGCTTGAGGGCGAGCAAAAAGCCCTCCAGTGTGTGAGAGAAGCCCGTGGACGTGCTTCGGGTGAACCGTGTTTTGGTTCTTCAAGCCAGATGAAACACCACTCCTGCGAGGCAAAGAGCTGCAGAAGCAGCTCTCCCAGCGTGTTCTGAATGAGGATCGCGTGTCACTGTTCGGCACCGGCAAGATCAAGCCGGTTCCTTTGTTCCCTTGCACAGGACTTGCGGGCCTTCTTGGAGCTGATTCAACGAGTGCAGGCAAGAGCAAAGCATAGTAAAACAAGCAGAACCGGGCATTGCTGGCAGCCTTCCAGCACTTGAGGTCCTGGAAGTGGAGAGGCTGGAACTCGAACACTTCTGGGAGGTTGACAGGCAACAGCTGGAACAGTCTGACCAGGACACGGGCGGGCACTGCAGTGTGCTAGCTGCAATGCACATTCAGTGCTGCGTAGGAGATCGCCATGCTGAGAGAGCAGCTTCGACTTCGCAACGCCCACATCCACGAGCAGCGGCAGCAGCTCTCCAAAGAGAAGCAGGAGAAGATGCCAGGCCACTGAACTGGAATCGGCAAGACAACTTTCCACAACTAGTAACTAATAGCTGTTCGTAGCTGAGCATTACTGTCGGCACTTTTCAAGCGACACGGACAATCTCAGGACATGTTTTCCTACTGGGAAGCACTTTGGCGGAGTCCTCGCCACAGCGTGGGCCCTTGCGCGTCATGCAGGCCTGGGCCTTATCGAGCCTTGGCAACGCCGATCTAAGCCTGGGTTCTTGTTAGGGGATTCAATTTAAGTTACCCTAAACTAAACAAAACAAAAAAACCATATCATTCACTATAGAGCCCCATTAAAGTAACTTAAATAAAGTCCCCCTATCAAGAACCCAGAAGCCGGCCCGAGCTCATATACACCAGCCTACAAGAAAGGTTGAAAAAAGACCTAAGTGAGCTAAGCACTGAGTGCCTTGGTTCATAAGACTATGTTGCGGTTTGCAGTCCTGGGCTTGGAATATTTCCGCCAGGATCGTTTGGTGGTTCAGCCACCAGCAGGTACTTGCAAGGGCACATTGGAGCCTGTCAGTCTTGACCTGAAACAGCGAACGTGATCTTGAGCACATCTCCTGTATCAGAAGTTGCTGTCTTGGTTTCCTTGTGTTGTCTTGCTCATGGTGGATGCCCGAGCGATTCCGACAGTCGCCCAGGAAAGAGGAGGATGGACCGGAGGAGAGGGTCAATAGTGGAAGTCTCTCGGTGTCCGAAGAGGCAACCGACGATTTCCCCATGCAAGACAAAATCAACTGGAGGGCCTTGGAGGTAACCGGCTCGCTGATGCTTTTTGCATCTGTGTGATGGTGTGGTGGCCACTGCCTGTGGCACCGGTCTCCCTGTGAGGTCCCTCTGGCTTCGCAGATCAAAGGCTTGGCGCAACTGCAGCAGAACGCAGGCACTTCTCGGCTCTTGGCAGCCAAGGTGGCTTTGCGACGCACAGCACATGCTTTGTTTGGGCTTGTTTTCTGCATGTGGCATTGGCGGCTCTTCGAGCGCTCTCAGGCGTGGAAGGACAAATCCCTTCGCAGCATTCCGGAGCGCGCCCGGCGGCCGTTAGCCCTGGCACGCAACGGTGTCGCACCGCCGCCCTTGGTAGCACCTGCACCGCCGCGGGAGCTGCGGGAGCCTCCAGGTGGAGGGGGCGCGCAGCCGGCAGTCGGACCCCTCCAGTGCATCTCGTTGTCAGGCGACTCCAGCCCTTCGCAGACGCGTGGAAGCACCTGCCCGCCATTGAGGAGGAAGTCCTCTCTTGAGGCGCGCAGCGGAAGGTCCGTTTTAGAGAGGCGGGGCTTCTTTGCCGGAACGTGCAGGCGCACGCCCTTGGCGGCCAGCGCCAGACCTCGGTGGGCGATGTTCGTTCGCCGGGGCCACCCGGGCAACGGCAAATCCTGCGTGCACAAGGCGTTGCAGCTCCACAGCGGCAGCCGCTCGGATGACACCTTTTCTTGACTGATGTTTCGTGAACATGCTCTAATGATCTAATGAATCTAATGGTCTTTGCCGAGCCGCGTCTTCGCAGCTGGTAAGTCGCCGTCTTCTCTTGCATAATGCTCCCGAACAACTCCGCAGCAAAAGCAACAGCCGATTATCGGCTCGCCTTTGAATGAAGAATCACTGTGTTCGCAACAACGCTTGCAATCCAGCATAGGACGCATGGTCACTGTTCCCAGCCACCTAGCCAAAGCCCAGCACTTGCAAGCAGAATGCATTGCTCACGACGATTCCAGTCAAACAGACATCTATTTGGGTTAAGACCTTGTCAACAGTGAGACAATGAACCATTATTCGGCTCGAACTTCTGCACTCACAGGGCAGGAAGCGAGATCTTGGCTTCCGCGCAACCACAACAAGCAACAGCGAAGCTCAACATCCATGAAGCTCCTCATGCTGAATGGTGTGCGTGTATGTGTGTTGGCTGGTCGCTTGCTTGCTTGCTTGGTTTCTTGCTGGGTTGCTTGCTTGGTTGGTTGGTTGGTTGGGTGGGTGGTTGCGAGTGCGTGCGTGCGTTCGCCCAGTTGCATCTGCACTGCTCATGTGCTTGCTCGAAAGAGCTTGTCCGTCGCGTGGCAACCTGCAACCCGACAAACAGTGCGACAGACTAGCAGATGCAGAAAGTAACATGCAAACTGCTGTCAGGGTTTATGTATGTATGAGTCTGATACATTGATGAAAGTCAGGCTGGACAAGAATTCCGTCGGTGTGTATCGGGACAAGAGCCGCGGCAGAGCCCGCAGCGAGCACTCATCTCGGATGGCCAGAGTCGGTCGCAGCATGGTGCACACGCCCGGGCGGTGAAGAGGCTGCAGTAGCAAGAGGTCGTGCAAGCGCCGATGCATCTAAAGGCGCAAGCCGAGGGGGATAGGAAGACCAATACTTTAAAGGCTCAGGTTAAAGGGGTGTTGCTCCTTGAGGGTTTGATTTACGACCGTTCGCCGGACTGGGGCAAGGATGGCAAGAACGGATGTTTCACTTCGGCGCTTCGGCCATGCCGAAGCCGCCAGGTGCCAGGGTGTCTCCCAAGGGAGGGTGACTTTGAAGCGCGGGCCTTGGCACCCTGGAGATCACCCAGAGTCGCACATTAAGGTGTCAGCGCACGATTGGATGAAAAAGGCTTTTGCGAGTTTAAAGCCGTGGAAGCTGTGCCAAACCTCAGGCAGGTTTATGTCGCTTCGCGCCGTGCGGAACCTTGCCTGTCTGTAGCCAGTTTCATCCAGAGTTTCCCGAAACTTAGACGTGCGTAGTTTCAGTATGGGAGCGGCACCAACGCGTGTCGACTCAAGAACCGTATGCTTCACGCAGAAGATGCAGTTGAGAAGTCCACCCGCTGCTTGGCCCGTGGCAGATAGTCTCGTGCCCTTGCGCTTTGGGTTTCTTGCCCCCGGCTGCCAACTGCCGAGGCTGTGTTAGGCGGATGGTGCACAGCCTGCACTGTGAGCAGGGAGCAGACGGACAATGAAGACTTCCAACACCGCTTTTTCAAGCACCCACTCACGCCACTGCTCCAAGAACTGCTCCCCGGCAGCGTATGATAGAAGAAGAAGACAGCTGAAACCAAGAGCGGCGACCCCGGAAGGTTCGACCTCCAGGACCTGGACTCGAACGGACTGTTGGAGGAGAGAGCACAGGCAGCCGAGGCTAGGCAGGTGCCTGAAGCCGAAGCATGCACTGGGAACAGTGCGGGGAGGAGTCGGAGCTTATCGACCTCAATATTGTTATCGCCACATTGCACTATGGCTCTCGGCTTAGCTTTTGTATCCTCGCGCCAGATCAGTGAAATCAGGAGCCTTCTTGATTCCGCCTTGCATGGTCAAGGTCGCGAGATTGACCGTGACATGTTACACAAGAAGTATCAGACCCTCTTCCGACACATGGCAGCGTTTAGTCTCACAAGGTGCCATACTGTCTGAAGAGCGAAGTTGTCCCATAACTTGCATTGCCTTGATTTGCAATGGTCGATGCGTCGCTGTGATCTCGACACCGAAATCGGAGGACAGCGCCTGGATCCCCTTGGCAGGGGTGTTGGCTTCCGGGCATTTCACGACTACATGGTGCAGGTCCTGGTGGACTATGACACGGATGTAGCTGCTCAGGAAATGATCGTCGAGCAGTTCATCGCACCTTGGATGTGGCATTTTGCATCTGTGCCCGTTTGGTGTGGATGATAAGGGAACGTAGTCCAGGCAGAGGCGAGCTTGGCAAGAGCCTTGTTGTCCAGTGGGGCTTGGCAGCGAGACATGGCCGCAGTACAAACGAGCTTCGTGTAGGGTCTTGTCCAGTGTAATTACATTTATGCAAGTTTTGCGTGGGACTGGCCTGAGCACTAAGTCTGTAAATTCACAAAGGCCAGCACGTAGTAGATGTTGTGTTTCCACGGGTGCGAAGCACCTCTGCACAGAACCGTGTGTGAAAACGACTTCCGTGACGGAAGCAGGACTCGGCGCAAGTTCGTATCGTGGAAGCGGACTCTGAACATTCTGAACCAAGTCCCCTAATCAAGTTTTGATTCACGAGGCACCAGTCGAAGCTTGCTCTAGCTTGCTCTTGCACAGCGTTGTATACTGGCCGAAGCGTCAATATCTTGCGCTGATCTGGCACCGCGACATCAAGTCAAAATGGGAAGAAGCCCAGGTGACATCAGCTGGAAGTTACAGCTGTGGGCAGTGTGCATTGTCGTGAGCACTGTCGATGGAAGCTTCGAGTAGCACAAGTGCCCAGCCGTCTCCGCCGCTTGTGGGACTCACAGCGACGGTGCACATCCTGACCTGCAGAGCCTACCGAACAGCCACGGACTTAGTGGCTATCCTTGGCATTGTGGCAGACTGCAGTCCCTGCTGCAACCCCCCTCCCCCCCTTCTCCTGTGATAAGGTTGGTCGCACAGGGTGCATCTCTCGCGAATCATGGGCACTCCCTCCGCCGAAGTCTCAGCCACAAAATCTGTGTACGGAAGCAGAGAGTAGAGGTGACATGCGGATGCCTCAGGCAGACACCATGCCGCAAATCTCCATCTCCGAGGCGTAAGTCGAGCCTTGTGGTTCTTGAACATGCCTAAAATGAATTCTGCAACGAAGGCACGAGCAGGAGCTTTGCTCACAGAGCTGCTGCAAGGCTTGGGCGAATGCAGGAAGAAGATTTCGGCATTGTTTTTTGGGTTTTCTTCGTTTCTCGCCTCCCGAATCCCCATTCACATGTCCTCTTTCAGGCTTCAAGGTGGGATGCTCAATTCTGACACACTGTCAGTCCTGCTTGTCATGAAAGAGGGTGCCTTTCGCCAAGGCTAGCATCTTCCAACGCAGGGTGCAACAGCTCTTCGAGAAGAATGACTGTGGAAGCCCAAAGGACCAGCTTGAGCAGAAGATGACATGATGACATGACCACTGTCCTCTTCCCAGGAGCCGGAAGACGTCCCGGGCCTGCCCAGCTTGATAAAGCGAGTCTACGTGGAAGTGCGAAGCCTACGGTTGGATCGGGGTCTTGGCCTTCCGGGATCTGAAAAGTTGATGATGTGAGATCTTTGGGCTACAGAGGTCTTTCAGCGATACGGTCCAAGCCTGAGCTGAGCTCGTGATCTCTAACCACTCCAGGACTAAGTTCATCGTATGGCAAAGGTCTCCTCTCAACGCCCTTTTCCATGGTGCTGTCGTCGCTGCTGAAGCCTAAGCCTTCTAGAAAGGGCCACACTTGACACTTTTTTGGTGCGCCTGCATGCAGATGCCCAAGCAGCCCCAGCAAGGCAGAAGACCTATCCACAGCTGGGTGACCAGGCGGGCTCTGATCCAGCCTCTCAATGCGGTACGTTCTGGGGTCCGAGGTGGATTCCATTTGGCTCACCCTTCGCCTGAACAAGGAGAGAAAGGACGCCCTGACGATTGAAGATGTTGACTTCTGAGCGTAATTCAGCTGATGCACTCACTGTATTGCCAGGAAGCAGACAGTGCAACGAAGGAGGAGGCCTGAACAACGGCCGGCGAGCAGCAAGGGGTGCGTGTCGAAGAAGGGCTATCATGGCTGTTGTTTCTGCCTCCCAGCTGTTGCCCGAGCAATTAAACAGCAGCCATTGTCTCAGATGTCTTCCTATCTCTTCATTCCGGCTATAAGATTCACCGCAACACTCAGAGATCGCATATCATGCACATCTAGCATGTGATCTTCCCGACATGTCTTGGCTGGTGGCTTGGTGCCTCGGGATTTTCCCCGGCGTGGCTTTTGCGAAAGATGGCGAGAGCGAGAGCCCTGCTGTGCTGGAGCAACTAACTGTGGCCATGGTCGGAAGCGTTGTGGACACCAACCTGCTGGACATTCGGAGCTCCACTGCAGGCAAGAGTCTGCTCAGGTTGGGCAACACAGCGCTGCCACAGCATGCGGACGAGGTGAGGTTCGCAAGGTGATGCGAAAGTCTTCTTTGTAAAAGTGGATTACAAAACAGAGCCCTAAACTTTACGTCAACGAAAGCTTCCCTAAACCGCTAAACCTTTAAACCCTGCTTTGCGAGTGTGTGAGTCGAAACCCTAAATTTGCAGAAGCAAAGTGCAGCCAGAAGTTCCGGAGGAGGCACGCTCGGCCGCAAAGTCGGCCTTGGAGCAGAAGGTCCTCAAGTCAATGATCTGGTGGAAGGCATTAGGGTTTTATGAGGGTTTAGGGTTTAGGGTTTAGCAGCCAGGGATCACTTCGATGGTTTTTGCCGGCCAGGCAGCTCCATCCAGCGTGCAGAGGACGCCCCGCGTGCTCTGCACAGTCTCTTCGCTCATCGCTCGATCTCTCTCTTTCTCTCTGTCTCTCGCTTCTGTGTTTGTTGGTGAGAGCACCCGCGGCGTCCCATACGCACGGTGTTGCATGTGGCAGCATGTGCATGCACACCCGGTGGGCGCAGTGGTGCGATGCTGTATAGGCAAGCAAAGGTACATGGTTCCGAAACCGTTGGAACGAGCATCCAGATGTGTGAACCAGTTCTTGCATGCATGGAGGCGTAGCTGCAAAAGTGTGTACATGTCCATGCCGACGGAGCCATATTGCAGGATTATTTAAGAGGTGGTGTGTGTGTGTGTGTGGGTGAGGGGATGATGACGCCCGGGCACCGGACGATGATGATTTTGATTTACACTTGCACCTGGGCTGTCTGATCTCAAGCCGACCCAGTTTCCAGCTTCGTGTCCTCATTCGAGGCACAACATTCATACTGGTCTTTCCCAACATGCTGCTTTACTTTGGCATCTATGTACTGGGTGGAGGAGGAACTGAGTTGCGCAGACTTCCTGAACTGCTTAACTATGAAGCATGGCGCACAGCTCCTTCGCACGCAAGATAAACAAAAACAAAGGCAGACTATTTCTATTTCTGAGCCTATGCAGAACCTCAAAAAACATGCAGAACGTCGGCAGGCATGGCGCTTAGGGCACAGAACGACAAGCCTCAAAAAAGCATCAGGTTTGGCATGCAAGAAGCCCCCGGAAGCAAGGAACCTTCAAATTCTGATGGCTATTTACAGCTACGAAACCAACTGTCAAACCCAAGCAAGAAGCATGAAACTCATCAGAAACCCGGATAATGCTCAGAAAGCGTGTTGCGGGGCAGGCCGATTGCGAGCAAGCTATGAGCATTGCAAATGCAAGCATAGGGTGCTGAGGTTACCTGGATGATGTTCATGATGCGCGTTACTAGATAGACCGAAACTTCGGATCTGTAAACCAGCACACGGATGATGCTCATGATGCGTGCGCCCGTTCATCCCTGAACGTATTGGAATAGCTGAAAGCTATGTAAGTTTGTGGCGGGTACAGGGCCCAGACGAACAGATGGGGAAAACATCACCCAGGGGGGGGGGGGGGGGGGGGNNGGGGGGGGGGGGTGGGGGGTACCAAGCCACACACACACTTTTGCTGCATTGAAGGGTTTCTTGCGGTTGCAATTGCACAGAAACCTCAGCCGGATGATGCTCATGATGCGGGCTGCTGGCTGGACCCGAGCAGCGAGTATTTGTGCGGAGTTTGCAGGATTCTTCAATTGTTGGAAGGGCGCCGGCAACATCACCCAGCTGATGCTCATGATGCGCG